AGGGTACTCAAGGAGCTGGCAAGCCCCTGGCACAGATCTTCGAGAACTCCTGGTGCCCTGGTGAAGTTCCCAAAGATTGGAAGAAGGCCAACATGGTGCCTATCTTCAAGAAGGGAGGGAAGCAGATCCGGCAAACTACATGCCCATCAGCATGACCTCTATCCTGGGGAAGGTCTTGGAAGAGATTATCAAAGATACTATCCTTAACAGACTAGCTGATGGCAATATCCTGAGGGATACCCAGCATGGGTTTGTTGTGGGTAGATCTTGCTTGACCAATCTCATTTCCTTCTATGACCAGGTGACCTATCACCTGGACAAGGCAGAGGAGATTGATGTCATAAATCTTGACTTGAAAAAAGCCTTTGATCTGGTATCCCATGATCACCTCTTGGCAAAACTGGCCAACTGTGGCCTCGGGTCCACCACAATCCGCTGGCTGGGGAATTGGCTCCGTGGTCCGACACAGAGGGTGGTGGTTGATGGAAGTCAATCATCATGGTGCGCTGTGACCAGTGGGGTCCCTTAAGGCTCTGTCCTTGGGCCTATACTATTCAACGTCTTCATTAATGAAGTGAACATTGGTATCAGAAGCAGACTGGCCCAGTTTGCCGACGACACCAAACTGGAATAAAGCGTCCGCACCTGAGTATACGAGGGTGATCCAGGCTGACCTTGATAGGCTCAGGAAATTGGTGAACAAGAACCTGGTGGTGTTTAATGCTGAAAAATGCAAGGTTCTCCACCTTGGGAGGAAAAACGTGCAGCATGCTTATAGGCTCGGCAGTACTACGCTGGCTAGCACTATGAACGAAAGGGACTCCGGGGTCGTGATTGACCACAAGATGAATGTGAGCCATCAATGTGATGCTGCAGCTAGTAAAGCGAGCAAAATGCTGGCTTGCATTCAAAAATGCTTCTCAAGCGAATCCCAGGATGTCATTCTCCTGTTGCACTCAGCCTTGGAGTACTGAGTCCAGTTTTGGGTTCCACAATTCAAAAAGGATGTGGAGAAGCTTGAGAGGCCGGCGGAGAGCCATGCACGTGATCAGAGGTCAGGAAAACAGACCTTATGATGAGAGACAGAGCTCCATAGCTCTCAGTAGCCTGGAAAAGCGCAGGCTCAGGGGTGATCTGGTGACCCACCTATAAGTTTATCAGGGGTGCTCACCAGGATCTGGGGGAACATCTGCAGAGCGCCCCAAGGGATGACAAGATTGAATGGTCACAAACTCCTTCATGACCATTTCAGGCTGGACATAAGGAAGAACTTCTTTACTGTCTGAGCCCCCAAGGTTTGGAATAGACTGCTGCCAGAGGTGGTTCAAGCAAGAGACATTTGGATGTTTATCTAGCTAGGATCCTATGACCCCAGCTGACTTCCTGCCCCTGGGGCAGTGGGCTGGACTTGATGATCTTCTGAGGTCCCTTCTGGCCCTAATGTCTATGAAATCTCTGGAGACCAACTCTGTGCCTCAAAAAGGGTGTTTGTGTCTAAAAGATTGCAAAGAATAATTTTTCCATCTATTTAGTTGCTCTAATATATCACATTTACCCAAAGAACTTTGTTTGCCTTTGGTCTCTGGAGGCACAAATCCATAGTTTGAGAACTGAAACCAAGCATCACAGAGATGCTTAATGGGATCTTCTAGACTGAGAACTGAGTCCCATTGAGTAGAGTGGTTTTCTTTAATCTTTACTAATTCAGGGAATCCCATAAGATTGGGCCCCGACCAGAGTCTATGACCTGTTGTGACTTATTTATACAACTTCTAAAAAAAAGTTACATGAATATATTGTCTTAAATGGTATATAATTAGAAGTTATAATCCCTATTCCATGATGATATCTTTGAGTTTTAACATATCTTAAATTGAAATTATCTTTATATAAGTTTTTTTTTAAAGCATCTTAACAAAAAATAAAAAATTAAGTTAAAAAATCTGAATTAAATAAAAAATCAAATTTTTTAGTTGTTTTTTTTTTTAACTTATTGTTCTTTATTCACCCTGATGTGAAAAGCAAGGACCAAATCCCAGAAGGCACAGGCCATCTGCAACACCCTTTGACTTGTGTGGGAAACTCAAATATTCAGTTTCTCTTGGAATACATCTGTAAATACCTGTTGCTGACAGTAGGCTCAGTCCAGACAAATGCAACATCATGTCAACTACCAGAGCCAGTCAGTGGCTTTGCTCTGGCTCAAAGCTGCTAATTACAATTGGTGGAAGGTTTCTTTTTACACCAGGAAATGCAATACTGTTCCAATGCTTTAGCTGGGACCATCCCAATTCTTATATCATTCTTTAGCTCCCAGCATAAAAGAATATGCCTGGGACAACCATCTGTCTATTTGGGTGATTTGCTGTAATCGCCCAAATAATTCAAAGGGAGTTGGCAGCCACTTTTAGAGGAGTCTTCTAAATCTGTCATGGGAAGCCAGCCCAGTGCTGAACCATCTGAGGATTGGTGGGGGGTCCGTGAAGGAAATTTAAAGTTTGCTTCCTTGCCTCTGCTCAACATGGGTGAAAAATCTGCCTTCATAGAGCGTTGAAGGTACTCAGCATCTTGGAGAATAGACCAGATGTCATTAAATCTTTTTGTGCCTCAGGATTTTGTTATATCCAAGTGCATTGTATCAAAGTTAATTATATTAAAGGTAGGAAAACAGTCCAATATCATCTACCTGCTGCTGCACACTTTAAAAATCATTCTAACTAACATTTAACATACTGCCCAGGAAACATTTTTCCTTCTTGTCAGAAATTTTTAAAAGATTGAATTTTCTAAGTACAGTTGCGTGTAACTTGGTAAAATCTAACATTTCAGCTCTGGCACTACAGAACAACATTTTGAATTAAAATAAAAAAATAGGTAGCTCATTAACAAAGCTGTCCTTGCAAATTATTAAACAGTACTAAGGAGGTCAAGTCTGCAACTTACAGAATTCAAAGTAAAAGGTTATGCATGTTTTGTAGAATATTCACTTCCAGAAAACAGTGAAAGTGTAAATATCTTTCTGTTGGTATAAACATTGGAAGACGTCTGGAATACAAAATACATCACTACTGTTGTGGCTTCTGTCCAGGAAAAATATAGTTAATATGCAGTGACTATAAATGCCAAACTTCACCTTTGCCTTAGCTGACTTGTGATAACTGACTTTTGTTTTCAATGCTGAGCAGGCTTTGGATAGGGGAACTTTGAGTTCATGGCTTCATCAGACTAAGATGTTTCAAATAATTCTTTGCTGATTAACATATAATGGAAATTATTACTCTCTACAGATATGTTTTGCTTTGTGTAAAGTGCTTAAACCATTCAGTTGTGGTCCATAACATGATTGTGGCTGTTACAGTGTAAAGTTTTTGTTAACTGTGCAACTGCTAAGCATGCTCATAGTTCTGAGCCCTCATTCAGTCACATTTCCTAAAATCAGTGGAATTTTTGGTTGACTGTGAACTTCAAGGTTGGGCCTAAAGAATGTACATAAACTATTATTAATGTTATTTAAATTAGAGTAACACCAAGATTTCCCAACTAATATCACAACTCATTGTTCTCGGCACTGTGGACATACAGTGAGGAAGGGACTCCGCCCAGGAGCAGATCCAGAATGCTGCAAAGGGGAGTGTGGTGATGACAGCAAGGTCACTGCACAGCTAAGCACAGACAGTCAAAAAGCCCAGGGCTGGATTAATTCAATCTTCGCAAGTTAGCCTAAGCTGTGGAGATTGAATTGATAAGCAACTGGACATTCACTTTTTGACTTCAGAAACGCAGCCATATGCCTGCAGTGGCCCAGGCCAGAAGCCTGGGGGACAGTGCTAGAGCACGACTCCCTGCTGGCTGGAGCAGACAGCTTGGGCTAAGGCTAGCTCACCCACCCTACAGAGTGGGGTTTGCGGGGGAGGTGCAAAGCATCCTGCTATTCTGGGGGGGGCTGTGAATTAACTTGAATCTGAAGGAGATCTGAGACAGTTCAATAAACTGATTTAACCTAATTCAGTTCAGTCTGATATTACATCCATCCAGGTTTGTCTTAAACTGCTTTTGGCCACTTTGAAATTGGTTTACGTGCACTGAACTTCTGTTATGTTACAAATTGGAACTAACTTCCGATCAGTTATACCAGTTTATGTGTAATTTCTGTCCCTAGCCTACATGTGCAGAGCATGTGCAGCATATAGCACATGCATTTGTCAGCTAATGCAGGGGGTGGGGGGAGTGATTGCACACTCACTCCCACCCTCCACCCCCAATCTGCTCCTGATTTTTGCCCTACGAGTTTAGGCCTAAGTTTCCAAAGCTATTTAGGTATCTAGCTTCCCATTAAGATCAATGGGGAATTAAATACCTGCAAACTTTTCTCTATCAGGCCCTTGCTATCTAGTTATATAAGGCAGATATGAAACTAGAAGGGGAGCAGAAGCACAGAGAAATGAAGGGGCTTTCCCAAGACCTTGCAGCAGGCCAGTGGTAGAGTTGGGATCCAGATCTCGTGAATCCAAATCTAACAACTTGTCCCCTAGATGAAAATTGAAACGTAAAATGTGCTTTTGAATATCATGTCTTGATTGTGAGACTTTATATTTAAATTATGATTCTAAGCATATGCATAGGGCAAATGTAGGTGTAATCTTGACTGCTTGCAAAAAAAGAAAACAGTTTTTAAATTGTCATGTCTCTTTGCATCATATGGGGAAATATTTGACCAGCTTGCAAGTCAAAAGCAAAAGTCTTGATAATGATGTTGCAATTAAAGGAGAAACAGCAAGAAAGATAAAGTGAAGCCGTGGACTCCAACATAAAATGCATCAGACAGAAAACTACTGCACAATTTCAACATGCCACACAGGAAAAAACGGGTGTAAAATAATTTGTTGGATTGCAATGAACACTAGCAGGTCCCAGCTCTTTTGAATGAATGGAATGTCATCCTGAAGCTAAACGTTCTTGGGTCCTGCTTTTGAATGTCAGATTAGCTGAGCTCAGTGCTTATGAAGGTGCTGGGAGCCTGTTCTGAGCCACCTTCACAACCACTGTGGATTCTAGTGGTGGCTGAGAACTGTTGCTGTCTTGAGCTTAACGTTAGTATTATCCCAAGGCTTACTCTAAGTTACGATTAACTGAAACAGCATTGTTCATATTAGATTCCCACTTGCCCTAGCACAAACCCGTTTCCACGGGATAACAGATTTTCTGTGCCTCCCAAAGAAAGTCTCTATTTTATAGATGCTTCTTGAGGCCTATTCCTAACATTATGTAGTATAAACGGGGCGGACCATAACAGAAAACAGCACTTTATGTACATTCAGTTGAAGATTATTCTCTTCTTTTATCAGAGTAGCTCGGGCATAGTTTAAAAAATAAGGCAAGTCTAGTTTTTAACTCAGAACCTTTTCCCCCCTCTATCTGTAGTAAAATTGCAGGCAAGTTTGATGGGATTTGGGACAGAGGATCACTAGTGGCCATTAATCCATGTGACCGAGAACGGTAAGTAACACATTTGATAGCTGTTTTTCTTTCTAAGGAAGGAAATGTGATTATATGCCATCTCTTGCATTAGTGTAAACCCTAAGTAACCTAAGCCAGTACTTTTCTGCCATGTGGCCACTAGGGTCACTGAACAATGCTTTCTAGAATTTTGAGCTTCTGCCAGGAAGGTGCCTTGCCAGGGCAAACAGTAATGTTGGCCTAAGCACAAAAAGTTGCTTACTCCATTATACATCAGCAGTAGCAGAGCTGAAAGTCCCCTCTAATGGCTGATTTGCACAAAGCTGGCAGCAGATCTGAATTTGATTCTTCCTTTTTGCTTTCTATGTTTTTATTTTCGTCTTTGTCTTCATCCTTGTTTTACCCTCCTTTGCCCCACACTTCTTTTTTTCCTTTCTTCCCCTTTATTTTTCACTTTCATCGCCCTGAATTCACAGCATTTTTAAATATAATCATGCAGGCTACTGTAGTAACTGTACATTGTGGCAGACGAACACTGTCAATGCTTCATTTTCTTGTTTGTTAGCTTATACCAGAATCAGTATATGTGTGTTTGTATAGCATTTTGTTTGTGTTATGTAGTATTTTTTACTTTTCATGTATAGTACATGAAATTTTACTACTAGGAAGCAGTACCTCAGTTGCATTAAATTATATTCAGTTCAACTTTTTCTGACTCGGTATGCATAATATACTGGCTTTTTCTGAGTATTTTAAGTATTCTGTTTTTATATACAATGTATTTGCAAAATAAACAATGCAATATTTGTTTTTCAGCTATGCCAATTTGATGTTGTCTCGAATGGATAAAAATTGTTCCTATCTGCTGGCTACTGTTTCATATGATCCAAGTAAATATAAAGGTAGGAACTTTGAACTGTTTTTGTTTCAAAGTTTATCATATACAAAAAACTAGACCTCTTGGTGCCAAAATGATACCTTTTATTAGACCAACTGGAAAATGGCAAGAAAATTGTCCTTTTCTGCAAGCTTTCGGGATCAAAATCTGTTCGTCAGGCTCTGGGAAAAGTGTAGATGGTACAAGATGGTAAAAAGTCCCCACAGGTAGGAAATAAACTTCATTTTTGCACACAGGGAGCTGAAGATGGAAGTCTGTCCCTCTGGGTCCGTGAGAGTGTCTTCGTGAGCTGTGTTGAGTAGCTCTTTGTGTTGATCAGGTAGAATTCCTTCCCTGGAGGTGTCAGATGGCAGGCAGGGAGGTAAAAAAACAACCTTCTATCTTCAGCTCCCTGTGTGCAAAAATTAAGTTTTTCCTACCTATGGGGACTTTTTACCATCTTGTACCATATACACTTTTCCCACAGCCTGACAAATGGACTTTGCTCCCAAAAGCTTGCAGAAAACGACAGTTTTCTTGCCATTTTCTAGTTGGTCTAATAAAAGGTATCATTTTGGAACAGAGAGTTCTAGTTTTTTGTATGTCTTTTTGTCTCAGACCAACATGGCTACCAAGTACACCCCTGAAAATTTATCATAGTCACTTTAAATGTTTTAATGTACTTAAACTTTTACACATATTTGTATCTCAAATATATTGTATGGTAACGATTTTATTTAAGTTGTTATTCCTGTCAACAACCTTTGTGCTCAAAATTGGTATGTTTTCCTTTTTGATGTTCTTTTTTTAAAGAAAGTTTAAATTAAGAAAGTTTAAGAAACAAAAGTACAAAAAAGATTTGATATTTGTTACTGCTATCTGATATATAAAGTGCCATTTTAATATGTTTTTAAAACTGTTCTTATATCAGGAATACTTGGTCTTCTCTATCTTTGCTGAAGTCATTTCTTAATAACTTTTCAGAGACATAAACTGATATCACATGAAAGCTGCAGTTATATAAATCCAAAAAGAGGGCAGAAGAGATACTATGGGGAAAGGCTCACTTGTACTTATATTCTGCTGCTTCAATTCTATATATGTAGCTGATTTAATACTGTGATACTATTAATGTACTAACCCTACAAATGTAGTTAAAGTTGGGGTTAACAAAAATGGATTTAGTTGTACAGTACTGGCATTAAAGTATTTTTACTCTTCTAGATTTATCTAATCCAGGAACCAAATTTAAACTATCCTGGTATAACTCTACACAGTAGAGTATTTACTGGCCTAAGTGTGTCAGCAAAATCACAATGACATTATGTTAATAAAGTTTTTATTTATAATAGAGTCCTAAGAATATAATGTGGTCTTTTTACATCATAAAGAAACATTAAGGGCCAAGCCATTTTTATTTGTTAGTAGTTTACAGCTTACCTTTTTAGGTGGAAAGCCGGTGACTTCACAGAAGTTGGGGTTGGAGCCCAAAATAATAAATGTAATGTTTTGTATCTAAGGTTTCAGTAAAGCTGAAGGATGCCCCAACATTTAGATTACTCTGCTTCTTGCATAAGGTTAACTTCATATTATTCATAAAGAAATGTAGAGAGATGGAGATACGGACTGATGCTTTTGAAAAGTATTTCAATGCAGGAGATAGTTAAGTTTTTTAAAATATCACATGGTTCTAAGCTTGCTGAAAAATTTTCCTCTTAATTCTGCCCCAGAATGTCTAAATGCATTTAAATGAGAGTAAGGTTTTGGCTTATTTTGGTTTGTTTGTTTGTTTGTTTGTTTGTTTGTTTGTTTGTTTGTTTGTTTGTTTGTTTGTTTGAGAACTGAGCCTTTTAGCAAACTTGGCTGGAATTTAGAAGCAGCAGAGCAGAGCATTTACCATAATGGCTATGTGAAAGTTACCTCCTAAGTGAGTCATTGCAAAACAGGAGTTACCACTAAAGATTTTCTCTAATTAAAAAAAATGCAAATAGAGGCAAAAGAAACGAGACAGAAAAAAATTAATCAGGCACATAAGGGATTCAGTCGATCATCTTTCACATCTGTTCTTTCTAGAGGGCAGGATTACAAGGATTGCTCCTGTGATTGTGTATGTGCTGTCTTATTTCTCAAGAGTGGTTAGGCCTTGCACAGAAGTATGTTCTGGGTTTCAGTGACCCCGAGCACATTGAAAATGTCTTTGCTGGTGTTAGAGCAATAGGTATTCTCTGGAACAAAGACTTGGCAGGGAATTAAAGAGTACATTGGAGGCCATTATCAATCAGGAGTTGGGCCATGATTAATTTTAAATCTAACTGACTGTATCACAAGCTTTAAGACTGAAGGACGCTGCAACAAGCAGCTGAAAAGGTTGGTATAATACCACATGTCCATGTCCAGCCATGAGTGTCACCATGCAGAGTCTGGCTCAGATCTAAAATGAATAATGGAGCTCTAAAATAAAGAATACCTCTCACTGCTTGGATCTGGCAGAAACCTAACAAATAAAAATTGATAAAGACAAGAGGTGGGAGTTGGCCCATATATTTAAACTTGCATGGTAACAGCAATAAAATCATTGCCGTTCTTTAGTTGCCTGTTGAAGAATTGAGCTGTGAAAATAGTGGCAAAGAATATTTTTCCCCCAAGCATATAACCATTTTTAATTAGTTACATGGTTCCCACCTCCCTTTTCATGGTAAGGAGTTTGTAGTGGGATCCTTATAGGTCAGCTGCTCATACATAGCTGAGACAGAATTCACTTCCTTGGCACGCTTCCCCAACTTCAGTGCTGCTTCATCACTTATATACTCATGATCTGAAAAATCATATTTTTTCCATCAAAACAAAGCCATGCTTTTCACTACCACAGTAAGTCAAGTCTAGTCTGGGTATTCATTTATACCAGTGGTGTCCATTGTTCTGGTCCCACAGGCTGGATGAGTGGCTCAGGTTCAGCTCACAGGCTAGATCTTGCATGGGGTTGATCCATGGGTGTGATCCAGCACAATGACTCAACCTCCTGTGCCTGGATCCAGCCACATTCTGATGTGCAAGGCCACATTATCCAGCCGATCGGGGCTCACCACAAGTCCAGAAATTTGGCAGCAGGGGAGTGGCAATGAATGCTGCCGCTGCTCCCCTCTGCCAAACTGCTGTATTAACATGCATTAAAAATGAAAAACTCTCTGTAAACGTTAAGTATCATTATATCTGTTGGCATAATGATTTCTCTTAAATGAAGAAGCTTCTGCAGTTTTTCTTGATAATTTTTAATTTGTCAGATGAAAAGACATTCCTACTGTTTGAGCTACCCTGGCTAGGAACAGACATTGCATTTGTTCTGGGATAACTTGAAACTTTGTTAGTCTCAGAATAAAAATGGTCCCGGGATTGATATGTACACACACTGCCCTTCCAATCAGGGTTTAGTGAGTGACTGAATGCACTGCCACTTTCTGCCATTGATTCAATTATGCAAATCCCAGGATAACTGTTCAGACACACTTTGTGATGGCCCCACACAAACTTGGTAGCACTTCTTATCCAGGGAACTTTTCTAGGGTTTGTCCCAGGGCAATGGACTTGTATGTCTGAGAAATCACACTTTGTCCCAGGAGAAAATGGTTTCTCCTGAGACAACTGTGACATCTGTTTGTAGCCTCTGGGTCTTTATTGGAAGAATAAGTCCTTTGATTATTCACCGTGATAATTTTTTGAAAATACATTCAAATTTCCCAGTGTTTGGCCAGCCTTTGGTTTTAATTATAATATTGGAATGGTCATTGTGGTTTCCAATGGTTTAGCTTTATCTATTTGCTTTCCAGGCCCACCATTTTATGTTCCTGAACATGAAATTGAAAGTTTGTTTGGTGAGTTAACCCAACTGTATTTATATTGTTTTATAAAACCTGTAGCAGACAAACTTGTTTTCTTGTTGTATTGACTCTCACTCTGGCAAATGATAAGGAATCTTAATAGGACGTTTCATCCTTGTACAAAATGTGGAGGCACATACAGTTGGAAAATAAATATAATTTTACTGCAAGGATATTGATGCCAGGAAACAAAGCTTTACTTTCTTAGACTGTGCAGAGGCTGATTGTTTAACTATGCATTATGATGGAAATCTGAACCTGTTTTACCAGTAAGACTGATGCTGTCTCTTTTGGGGCCATGGTTATTTTTTATGCTGAGTCTGCAAGAATTCAGACTAGATCTTGGTGTTCTTGCAACTCCTCTTTCTTAGTTTTATAGTGACTTTTTCATGTCTTTTCTGTTCCAACATTTTAATGTTCCCCAGGCTCTTCTATCTATTCATTCTACCTTAGAAACTTTAATGTAGAAACCTTTCTCAGTAGCTCTCGTTTCTGTTATAGTTTTGAAGCTAAAATATTAATTTATAGGAAATACAAATGTAATAAAACACCATGCTAAGAGAAGCAAAGATCCAACCCAACTATCGATAAAAGAAAGTCAGTGCTAATGTTGAAACTTCACCCTAGATGTGCCTCCTGCTATGCATTGTTATTGCAGTAAGTTCTTGTACTTCATGAGAATGTACTTGAACCTTCAGTGCCCAGGTGCATCCACCATTAACAGTGGCATCCAATTCTGAGTGAGAGAGCTAAAACCTGCTCACCTTATTTATTATTCATTGCAATTGATGAATCTACAAATATGAGTAAATTGAGCAAGACTTTTTTATAATATAAAATCCTAGATTCAAAACAAAACAAAACAGTCATCATCTTTAGCTGTGATTTTAATGTGGTGTTCTTACTTCTTTTTCAGGCAAATTCTGTGAAATTAAATGTCTTCAAAAGCAAGATGCCTTTTCAGAAAGACAAAAAGAATGGGGACTAGATTATTTTCTAGAGGTATTATATCTACTAAAGATTTTTCCTGGATAAAGCAACACACTAATAGTAGCAAGGTGGGGAGGGGGTTAAGTTTGATTGATTCTGCTTTGTTTTTAATGAACTGGATATATGGGAATTCTTCTAATGCACTTCAAAGTATGAAAACTTGAGTATGGAACTAGGATTGTCTCTGTTTTGGGATTATTTTAAGATACTGCTTCTAAAATCAATTATACTGTACTTCTATTTTAATTTACATTATATGTGTTTTAAGACCGTTTTTCTTAACTAGGTTTAAATTCCCTGCATAAAAAAATCATTTTAACTGTGTTACCTTTGTTTCCTATATTTTTGGTAAATTAAAAGCTAAAAAGATAATTTAAAGAAGTGACCCTATAGTGGGCAATGGTCCCTACCTGTTGACGGTTTTGTAGTCACCATCCTAACTATAGTTTCCTGTAATTTTGCTCTCCTGCCAGTAGGCAAGGACTGTCTGGTGGCTTCTTCCTTCTGCCTTTTTCTCCCCGCTTCTACTGTTAAAGAGACTGGTTGACAGAGAGCAAAACAGAATTTTAGCAGCAGTTATGTTTGGGTGAACAGGACATAGTCAACTAGAAATATGTGACAAAAGTGAATCTGTTGAGGGGAGAGCAAATGCTGCCCCTGCATCAGTAAGAAAGCTGTTTTTCCCGTTAAGAAAGTAATTTTTATTAGAGGAAACCTGGCTTTAGGATGTCATTTGTGTGGGAAGCACGAGTTATGGGGTGTCACAGAAAGACTCCTGAGGTTTGGCTAAGCCTCTGGCCATAGGGATACTTATCTGAACCCAAGAGGTTTTGCCATCACTGGCTATTACAATTTTACAAACGAACATTCATGTTTCGAGTCCCTGATGATCAAGGATCCTAGCTTTCTCTGTTTAAAAATTAAAAATTCTCTGATAAAACCCTGCAAACTCTCTGATTAAAACCCCAAAATCCATGATTAAAATGCCACTGTGTATATATGAATGTATGTATCTATTGGTTAAACACAATGTTTTACTGATATTTTTACTATTTTAAAGCAATTTGGAAGCCTTCAAGTGATTCAAACACTGTAGTAAAATAAATTCTAAGTATCTATAAATTTTGGTGTTTGATTTGAGTTTTTTTATCATGGAAAATCAGCTCTCCTTGCCCCCTTCACTCACAAGGACACTGGTCCAGCTGTGGCTGTCCCATGTCCGCCCCCCCCCCCCCCCCCCCTTCATGGCGCTGAAAACCCCTGGTGGGTCGCGGCC